GAGTTTAATACTTTTAGTCACGTAGTAATGTTTGAAAGGCTTAATAGTTTTTGTCATGTATGAGGAATCTGTAACTTGTCTGTGAAGTTTATGAGGCTAACCATAGAAGGGGGAGTGAGTAGATATGCAAAGTCCTTATAATCTATTTGTTTGTCAATGAAACTAAAAAAACAATAACATGCAAACAATGGGAGTGTTGTGGATGAGGCTGTCTCTATGTAAATACATTGTATTTGTCCTCCCGGTAAAGTTGCTTAATGTGACAGTTGCACTCCAGTTTACTGGATAAAAACATCAAAGACTTCAGTTTTGTAGATAAAATTTTTACTTTATCGTATTCAGTGTTAGTATTACAATTGTTGGGATGAGGTGAGTTATTCCTTTGAAACGCTAACCTTGAGTAATCATGATATGGTTTACTTCACAACACTAAAGTATGAAGAGATGATACATAAACTTTCTGTTTTATCTTGCGATGATAAGATAAAACCTCCCACCCTGTAACATCAGTAATGTTGGTTCTATTGTGAAATGTGGCCGTAACTAGCGATAGTACTCACAGAAAAAGTGATTAACTGATTTTTGTTAAGCATAAAGCTACACAATGACCAATCTGTGCTCTGCCCACCGCAGTTATCGAAACCCAATTTTAGCCCTAGACTTAACGCTGAGCTAACAGTGTTACTAAACTGTGGAAACAATGTATTAGAATCGTAAGAAGAGTATGTTAAATTAGCTTTATTCATTACTCAGCATATGTTTAATTGTATTCTACGTAAGTGAATTCCTTTGATCAGAAATTAATATTAATAACAATCTCGACATTGGCCGTTAGTTCGATACTCAAATCTATTTCAAACTTTGTAAAACTGGTTCAACATGGAAACTCGGAATATTTCTGTAAATCCTTGTACACAAACATCTCTATAGAATAAATAAACCTGGAATATGTCTGGTATTAGTTGCTGGAAATACTTGTGATTATATATGGAAGACATTTGTTTTATATACTCGCAGTTCGTGTGGAATACTTTTGTTTTATATGTCCGCACTTCATATGCAAGATTTTGTTTTATGTATCCACAGTTCATGTGGATGACTTGTTTTACATATCCACAATTCACGTAGAAGTCTATTGTTTTATATATTCACAGTTCATGTAGAAGTCTATTATTTTATATATTCACAGTTCATGTAGAAGTCTATTGTTTTATATATATTTACAGCTCAGGTGTGATACTTTTGTTTTGTATATACTATGTCTGGTATTATTTGCTTGAAATACTTGTGATTACATGTGGAATACATTTGTTTTATATACTTGCAGTTCATGTGGAACACCTTTGTTTTATATATCCACTGTTCATCTGGAATACTATTGTTTTATATATTCACAGTTCATGTGGATGACTTGTTTTACATATCCACATTTCACGTAGAAGTCTATTGTTTTATATATTCACAGTTCATGTAGAAGTCTATTGTTTTATATATATTTACAGCTCAGGTGTGATACTTTTGTTTTATATATACTATGTCTGGTATTATTTGCTTGAAATACTTGTGATTACATGTGGAATACATTTGTTTTATATACTTGCGGTTCATGTGGAACACCTTTGTTTTATATATCCACTGTTCATGTGGAATACTATTGTTTTATATATCCACAGTTCATTTGGAAGACTTGTTTTATATATCCATACTTCATGAGGAAGTATACATATCCACACTTCATGAGGAAGTATTATTTTATATATCCACACTTCATGAGGAAGTATGGTTTTATATATCCACACTTCATGAGGAAGTATTGTTTTATATATCCACACTTCATGAGGAAGTATTGTTTTATATATACACACTTCATGAGGAAGTATTGTTTTATATTTCCACAGTTCATGTGGAATACTTGAAATATATATATCCACAGCTATGTGGAATAATTTTGTTTTATATCCCGACAATTAATGTGGCAGACTTTTAAGAGACATGAATTCTATATATTAGTGTGTTCTAGAGTTCATATAAAAGACGTGTGATTTATACATACAGTCTAATCTAGATTTCACGTGAGAGACCTGTGTTTTATATATCCAGTCTAATCCAGCTTTTATGTAAGAGATGTTTGTTTTGTATATCCAGTCTAATCTAGAGTTTATGTAAGAGACGTGTATTTTATATATCCAATATAATTTAACGCTTATGTGAGAGACGTGAGTTTTATATATCTAGTGTATTCTAGAGTTCATAAAAGTCACGTGTGTTCTATATATCCACTCTAATATAGAGTTCGTGTAATAGACGTGTGTTTTATATATCCAGTCTAATATAGAGTTCGTGTAATAGACGTGTGTTTTATATATCCAGTCTAATCTAGAGTTCATATGAAAGATGTGTGTTTTATATTTCCAGTCTAATCTAGAGTTCGTGTAATAGACGTGTGTTTTATATATCCAGTCTAATCTAGAGTTCATATGAAAGACGTGTGTTTTATATTTCCAGTCTAATCTAGAGCTCGTGTAATAGACGTGTGTTTTATATATCAAGTCTGATCTAAAGTTTATGTGAGACTAGTGTGTTTTCTATATATCGTTTCTAATCTTAAGTTCTTGTGAGAGAAGAGTGTTTCGTATATCTAGTCTTATGTGGAGTTCATTTGAGAAACGTATGTTTTGTTTAGTGTTACGGCAGCGGAAGTCACGTGACACTGGGAGCATGCGCGCTCTGGAGTTTCTCAAATGATCATGAATTTGCCAGGCAGCTCGAGTGTGATCTAGATGCCCCCTTTTTTTAGTATATAAGCCTGGCAAAGAAAGCCAGCTGGAGATAGATAATTGAGTCAAGCGAACAGTACCTACGTGAGCCGAAAATTGTATGTGTTTTGCAGTTGCATAGAGCGAAGTTATCCACACTTCATGAGGAAGTATTGTTTTATATATCCACAGTTCATGTGGAATACTTGAAATATATATCCACAGCTATGTGGAATAATTTTGTTTTATATCCTGACAATTAATGTGGCAGACTTTTGTTTCATATATCCAAAGTTCATGTGTGAGGTGAATTTTTGTACGTCAGGAGTTCACGAAGGGGTTTATATGTATTCTGTTTCTTCAGGGATTGTGTGAAATTTGTACTTCGTTCATCTAGGACACTTTTCTTTTATATATCCATACTTCACGTGGAAGACGAATGTTTGTATGTCCAATGTTTGTATAAGAAACAATTAATGTGCGAGACACGTATTGTATACATATATATATATATATATCGATAATTCTTGCAATAAGCGTTGGTTTCATACATATCTAGAGTAAATAAAGGAGACTGAGTTTTACATACTCAGTTTTAACTGTGGTAGTCGTGTGTTCGACATTTTCTTAATTTGACCTGAACCCATGTGTTCTATATATTCAAAGTTCATTTAAGAGACGCATGTTTTATACATCCAGTCTAATCTATAATTTATATAAGAGACGTGTGTTTTATACGTCCAGTAATCTAGAGTTGTTGTTAGAGAAGTGTGGTTATTTATCCAGTCTGATCTACAGATGAGTGAGAGACGTGAATTCTATATATTATTGTGTTCAAGAGTTCATATAAAAGACGTGTGATTTATACATACAGTCTGATCTAGATTTTACGTGAGAGACGTGTGTTTTGTATATCCAGTCTATTCTAGAGTTCATCTAAGAGTAGTGTGTTTTATGTATCCAGTAATTTAAAGTTCATGTCAGAGTAGTGTGTGTTATGTTTCCAGTAATTTAAAGTTTATGTACGTGTCGTGTGTTATATATACCCAGTCTACTACTTAGAGGTCATGTAAGAGACGTATTTTTAGAGTAATTGTGTGAGATGTGTGTTATATAAATCCAGTAATCTAGAGTTCACGTGAGAAACAAATGTTATATATATATATATATATATATATACAGTGTAATATAGCGTTTATGTGCGAGACGTGT